TATTTGATCTGACCTTAAAAAGTTTAGTCATACATGCCATTAGCTTAAATTTTCAGTCTTTTCAAAATCGCATTTTCAGTAGAGATGTATGCAAGGTGGCTCAAAAGTAATGTCATAATTTGAATTTGCTGCATTTTTGCAGATAGTTCCAAATGTCACTGTGCTTCGACATCTATGATGTAGATAAACAGGGTGATCCACAAGTCGGGACCAAAAATGAAATATCATACACAGGACGCATTTTAAGGGGGGTCTTCCATGTAACACTTTTCCCTGAGGACTTCATTAAAAGATTCGGGGTGTTGAGGTTTAAAAATAAAAAAACAATTTTTTTAATATCTTCAAAACCGTCAACTGGTATGTAGATTTACCTAAGCCCACATTCAAAAGTATTTACACAAAATTAACGTGCACCAGTAGCGGAGATACAAGGATTAGTGCCATTATTTTTCCAAATAAAAATAGTACGCCACTGCTTTTTTTTTCGAAACGCGTAATTTTTCGAATTTTACCTGCAATTTGATGCAAATAATTACTCTTGTGTTTTTTCTAGAGTGCACTGTTTCGTAAAAATAAAAGAAATTAGATACTATTTAACATGCCTCGGACATACTCAATTTGTCGATATGCATCTGTCAATTTGTGCAACGTTTACGTATGCCTCATTTTCAATTTACCGTGTGTCACCTTTTTTACTCTGATGATCCAATTTGTTTTATCAATCCCATTCATCATTTCACAAAACACAGCCTCATGAGATTATTATATGTTATTTGTGTCAGCTTCTTTTTCACAATTCCAACTCTTTATCGATAATTTATTTCAATGGGTATAAAGTACGTTGTCCATACTTCCGTTCGCCCACTTATTCCCATTAGCTACAAGTCCTACAACCCGTAACATTTCCACCATAAAACCAATGGACTCGAATAAGTGGCCACAATTTCTCCGAGTACTTAGTAGCCGTTTTTAAATTTGATCACGTAAAAGCGAGTTAATAGATCGTGAAAAATCTCAAGTTGGTACGAAGAGAGGCCTAAGTCCCTTCTATCCATTTCGTTAAAAGTCTCCATTTACACGTTGCTCCGAATATGAAGGTGAATCAGCAATAAGCAAGGAGCAATTTTTACTAACGATAATAATTGAACTGCTAATATAAATTATCGGTTATTTGAATAAAATTTCTTTACTTGAGACAAAAACGAAGTATGTAAAAAAGTACAATGCTATTTTGTTATAATATAGTAATTACCTATGTGTCTTGTGTATCATAAAAATCCGCGTGGACCTTTTCAAGTCATACGAGAGTCAAGGGTCAACCAAACCAGACAGGCCAATGGGAAGAAGTTACATGTAACATCCAAAATTACATAGAGCGCCTAGGCCAGTCATAATGATGATTCCTTGCACGATTCTTAGAAAAAAGAATATAAACATAGGTCCGAAAATATACCGTACAATATTGTAAATCTCTATGCAACTGACGAGACTAAGTGAACCGGTCATTTCAAAAACCACCTAAGATACGTTTTTCCAAAATGCGTTTCTTTGCTGGAAATGCTTCCTTGAAGTTTTTTTTTATACTTCAACTACCACGAAGGCCTAAGGCCTGAACCTCCATGGGATACCGTAGGGCTATAGGGAGATACAGGGGAAAGGGGGAACGCCACGCGGACTCTGGCGAGGATAACACGTGTGCATGCAACATGCACACATTCTGGCCCCGCCTACGAGATTCGCCGGGTGGTACCTCTACGTTCGACAGTCAGAGACCGTCTACCACCTAAGGACAATCACAACATCCATAGCCAAGAGAAAAATTTCTCGTGGGAAGGGATTCGAACCCGCACAGCGCACGGTGACTGATCAGTAGTGGGACTCCGTGTCTCATGGAATTCTAAACCTTGCTTTCCATTGTTGATATCGACTGTAGAAAGCAACTGTCGCGTTTTGTGGCACTCTGTGTCACAGTCGACTACGCTTCGGGTATTTTCGGCAATGTAATATCTAAGATGAAAGTATCTCATAATTTTTTAGTAATATCTAATCTAGTAATTTTCAATTTGTTATGTTTATGTTTGTATCGCATTGGCTCTTTTGACGTTGACTGTAATTGTGTTTTATATATACATGTATATATATATATATATATATATATATGTTTGAAACCTTGGTCTTAGTTTTTGATTGCATATCTCACTGTTGAAAGATAATGGCTCTAGTACCTATAAACATAGCTGCGATATTGGCAGTTGAAGAAGAGCTAGATGATATCTGCATCGAAAATATGGAGAGATTGAGGAGAAATGAAAGTGATCCCTTTTCACTTGAGGATGTGAGATTCAAAGAATTGTTCAGGCTGAATAAAGACATGGCCCAATATGTTTTAAATGGCATCATACCTCATTTGAACCAGGTACCGAATCCTGTAGCACTACCTGTTATCTTGAAGTTTTTTGCTGTGCTTCATTTTTATGCTACTGGCACTTACCAAAGAGTGATAGGCAGAAGCTATGACATTTCAATGTCTCAGCAGAGTATTTCAAAGGCTATTCATGAAATAACTAATGCTATTATCAGTACATTTTCTGAACAACTGGTACACTTTCCAAGAACATCATTAGAAAAACATGTAATTAAGCAAAGGTTCATGGAAGCAAGAGGTTTCCCTGGGGTAATCGAAGCAATTGATTGCACACATGTGGAAATACTAAGGCCAACTTTGGAAGAGCATAACTATTTGAACAGAAAGGGTTACCATTCCAAAAATATACAAATTGTAAGGTTGGTTGACTATATTAAAATATAATTCTATAATTTCCAAAAACTGTTTCAGGTTTGTGATCATGATCTAAAAATTCTTAATATCAATGCCAGGTTTGCAGGTGCATCTCATGATTCATATATATGGAGAAATTCATTGGTGAGGAATGAATTCGAAGCTTGCTATCATGGAGGTATGCTCACAGTGTTATTTGGTATTTCATAATCAAGGACCTTATTGCATATATATGAAATATGCACAAAAGCAATTATTGATTGATATTCCTTTTTGTAACATTCACAGATGAAAATTATTTTTAGATAACTTTTTTTTAATGCAGATGATAGACATTCATGGCTCTTAGGTGACTCAGGTTATCCTCAGGAACCATGGTTGATGACTCCTATCCAAAATGCATTGCCTGGTTCGCCAGAAAGAAAATACACAGATTCCCATATTCAGACAAGAAACTGTGTAGAAAGGTGCATAGGTGTATTGAAAGGAAGATTCCTCTGTTTATCAAATGTGCTCAGATATAGCCCTGAAAAAGTGGGTAATATTGCAAATGCTCGTGCAATTTTACATAATATATGTGTAGCTGCTAGATTGGATTTTAATTTGGAGACGCTACCACTACAGGATACTGACAATCATCTGGAATAAAGCAATTTTGACCAAAGAACAGAGATGGGATTTTGCTAAGAAGGAACATTATTGCTAGATACTTTACTAATTAGTATATATGTATCATGCGAAGTATCTTGTAAAGATGTATTATCCTTTTCCATATTACAAGTTGTTCGTCACTAAAACATGTTAATTTTTGAATCTGCTTAGGGCAAACATGCCAGTTTTGGAAAAGATGTTATAGAAATAAGTACTAAGACAAATTGTCAAGTTCCATGTAGAAATATTTAAAAAAATGTCTATATTTTGATACATACTGTGGTAGATATTTTAGAAAATGGTGATTGAAGTGGTTTCTAAAATGAGCATATCACTCATTCTGTGAACTTTTTTATTTTTTATACTGAAGCAGCCGCCTAGGCAGAAGCCCAAAATGCCATGGCACCGCGATTGCAATGATGAGGGACTTAGAGACAACTTGTTTATCCAACCCTTGAACTGTCTAAGGTTGGTTGAACCGAGAAAAGCCTTCTCAGGCTTGTTCCACAGTCTTAAAACCTTGGGCATAAAGGAGCTGTCGTACCGGCCAAATCTGGACGTACTCAGTTGGGATGGGGGGCCAAAGTCTGACAGGCTCGTCGCGCGGTGGCATCATGGAGCCGAGCTTCGAGGAGCAGATCCCGTTGATATAGCGGTAGGAGAGAGCTCATCGACATCCCGTCGATGCGACAGGGTCTCGAGACCGTCCATCAGAGAAGGGTCATCGATCAGCCTGACAGCCATTCTCTGAACAGCATCGAGCATGGTTAATGTGGTCGGAGCTGCAGTTCCCCAAATATGGGAGCAATACTCGAGGCCTTGTATAGAGTGAGGAGGTTATGTGAAGAAAAGTACTTCCAGGCTCTAGACAAATAGCCTAGTTTTTTCCAGCAGCTGCCTCGATTGACGAGACGTAATATTTTCACTGGTTTGAGTGGCATAAGAAAAGATTTTCCTTCAATCTTGGATTTTTCAACTTTTTTGTAGAGAATTGTCTTGATTTAATTGATAATAAATGAATACACAAAATATGTTTTAGACTTTTTATTATAAATTTTTATGAGGATTATATGGCCTAGTTTGATATTACAAAAATGTAGTGAAAGCAAGTCAACCAATAAAAATATACTCAACTGTCTTTTGAAAAGGCTGTTTGTGCAACAGCAGCAAGTATTTTCAATGACTCTGCAATACCTTGGATATTACTTTCTATTTTTTTGAGGACCTGGAGTGATTCTTCAGTAATTGTTGTTAATCTGTTTGAATTTCTTTGGTAAGTTCTCTGATATGGTGTTCTTTGATGTTTTCTTGAGGGAGTTTTTGTATTAGTTGGAGTATAATTGTGATCAGGTAATGTTCTGATGTTATCATTTTGCCTATTTTCTTGATTTATCACACTGCAGCTTGATGCTTCCATTGTTGAGTTAAAGACATCTGTTGTATTAGATGTTGCGGTTACTTATAATGAAATACAGTATTTTCAAAGCTTTATCTCTATAGTATATGCTATGTCTCAAAACTTATCTTCATAATATAAATCTTTGTTGATGTAGCATTATGAAGTACTCACCTGTCCAAAGCCCATTTCACATACATCATCTCCTTGAACAGACTTTGTTCCCATAAGGCTGAGGAGCCGCTTTTCTGCATCAGAGAGAGGTACATAATTTGCTGGTCCTCCACCAGTTTTCACAATTTCTTGTTTGATTTGTGATGCCTTAGCTTTAGTTTTACATTTCCAATCAATCAAAGCCTATTAAATACATACACTAACTGCAAAATTAAATATTGTTGATTAAAGCTTTTACCCTTCTCCAATCTTCTTTGTTTTTTTTCGCCAAATCCCAAACTATTCAGTTGATGGGTAATGTTTTGCCACAGTCCATGCCCCTTTGCTTTGCCATCAGGTCCATTAAATTTATTACTGGTCACCTCAGGGTTTTTTTCGCAAATATCGAGTAGCAAGTTCCAATATTCTTGTCTGACTCTCATGATTGATCCAAATTTAAAGCACAATTTAAAGCCAATATGCGGAAGGAGACGCAGTCAGGTCATATACACACAGCAAAGCATTTGCAAAGTGAGGTTAGAAAGCTTTTTTCCATAGAATTTCACACGTCAATACAAGTGGTTTTCAAGCGACAGTATCTGTCACTTTCATGCGACTATTTTTGCACACGGAGTGCCAGTCGTATGGAATTGAATCAATTGATGGAATTCCATGTGACACAGAGTCCCACTGCAGGAGACCGAAGAGTCTGCTACTGCGACCATCCTGCGAAAGGTAATATCCACGTTCATTGCAAACAGACAAGAAGTGACAGGTTATTTTTGCTCGCACTACTCAACGGCGCGGTGGTTACTTGAATGGGTACTTCTAAAAACAGTATCAGGGTCCTTGAAATGTCTTCTTTCTAAATGTATGTGCTATATGCACCAAAACAACAATTTTCAATTTACTAACTACAAAAACAAGGTTACGGGTGAATACAGTATCAATTTTGCCTTATCGGCTTTAGCCGAAATCACTTTACTCATCACACTTGTTTTGTACCAAAAGCCTTAACTCAATCCTCCTCATTTGTATGATTGAGAAAGTGATTTAAATATACGTACAAATATTTTATGAAGTTTCTATACATATAAAAATGGTAACACACGAACAAAACCTATCTTGCAAAATCATTTTCTTTTTTTATGAGAAAACACATCTGGCTATCTGCTGCTGTTAAATAAGCAAGTTGGTGTTCTTCTTCAATAATTGCAGATTATTGAAAGGGTTGAACGAATAGGTCTATGTACTTTTTCACAATCAGAGGGTTTCAAAAAAGGAAAAAATATCATGCAGTCAGAACACGTATAAAATTTCAATTCGACAACTAAACTGGTGGACAGATGCTTTGCAACATGGAAAATTTTACCCAAACTGAAATCTCGATATTTTCGGAACGGGAAGAGATATCGAGGTGGTATTCTAGAGGTTTTTGACAAACTCTGAGAACACGTACAGGGTTCGATCGGTATATTTCTTTTATTTATCCACTTGTACAGGGTGAACAAACGAAGACAGGTTCTTTGAGCAAAGCTTGGGGCTGTCAGATTCTCAATTGTTTGATCTTGGAAATTTTTCTATGCATCTTTATGATCTTTGGACTATCTTAAAAAAGTGATAACTCAAATTTTTCGAAAGTTGGCTATAACTCAAATTATCGAATCTTAAACATCCCGCAATAAATGTAGAGCTCGTACAGTTATACACTTTTTGGCAGAAAATAATGCTACATTATTGCCTCTGCCATCAAAGACTCCAGATCTAAACATAATAAATTGAGCTTGTGTGGTCTCGGTTAAAAGGCATTTTGAAAAATAAAAATTTTCAAGTTATTAGCACTTCTTGTAAAACCAAAAATGCTGTTGGTGTTACTCAACTATCATACACCCTTATATTAAGACTAACTTGGATTTGTTCATTGAACTGCTTAAATTACACAATGTCAAGGAATCAAATTTCCACTGCACGCCACTGGAGACAATAACTTTCAATAAGTGCTTCAATATTTTTTTCAGGCACAAGACATTCCAGTTTATGCAACAGTTTGAGAAAAAATACCCGTTCTCAAGAGAAACCCCAAAAAAGTTCCTTTTCTAAGGAAAATGTAACACTTTTTAAGATTAGATAATTTGAGTTATAGCCAACATTGAGATATCATTTTTTTAAGATAGCCCAAAGATCAAAAATATATATCGAAAAATTTCCAAGATCAAAAATTAAGAATCTGACATACCCCTAAACTTAGCTAAAAAAACGACTTCCTTTGCTCATCGTGTATAAGTGGATAAAAAAATGTACAACCCTGTGCGTGTTCTCAAAGAGTTGGTCAAGACCCTCCCGAATACCTCAACTCAATATCTCTTTCCGTTCGGAAATTATCGAGATTTGAATTTCGGTAAAATTTTCCATGTTGCAAACCCACTGTCCACCAGTTTGCATGTATATCCCCTCTATAGATATAATTTTTTCATGGGTTTCGAAAACATAACTTCAACAGGCTGTATAATAAGGCCGCATCGCCCGCATACATACGAGGGATGTCTTTAGTAAACTTATATTCAATGTTTCACAACAATACGTGCAGTGTTCTCACTACAGTGAGTTTTTAAGCGTCACCAAGTCATTAGAAAAATGGAACTCAACCGATAACATTTTCGCGCCATAATTTATTACAACTTTCAGAGGCAATTATCGCAACAAGAATGCCTTACTGAGTTACTGTCTGTTTTCGGCAACGAAGCGCCACATCAGTCGACAATTGACGGGTGAGTCTTAGCGACGATCCCAGGGTGGGTGCACCAAAAACGGCAGTCGCCCAGGAAAACGACGATGCTGTGCGTAAACTCATCATTGAAGATAGACATGTAACATATCGCGAGATTGAGGCGTCCTTGAAGATCTCAAAGACCTCAATTCAAAAAATTTTACATGAAGAATTAGGAGTAAGAAAATCAGTTTCTCGTTGGATACGCCACCTGTTGACTGACGAGCAGAAAGCAGCCAGGGTTAAATAGTGTCAAAAACGCTTGGCCGCTTCAATTCCGGAACCAGAATATAATCGACAGTCGGCTGTTTGGATGTTCCAAGGTGAAGAAAAGCCAACAAAAGTCATCCGTTCTCGAAGTGTTTAGAAAAAGATGACCGCGACATTTGTGTCAAAAGCCGGTCATATTGCAACAATTCCTCTTAATGAGAAAAGAACTGTTACTGCGGATTGGAATACCACCATTTGGTTGCCAAAAGTCATCACCGAGCTTCGAAGAATCAACCCCGAAAGAAGAATCATCCTCCACCAAGACAATGCAAGCTCGAACATAGCCCAAAAAACATGGCAGAATATAACGGAACAAAACGTGGAATTATTAGACCATCCTCCATATAGTCCCGATCTAAGTCCTAACGATTTCTTTACTTTCCCGAAAATTAAAAACAGACTGCGTGGGCAAAGGTTCCAGTCACCAGAAGAAGCAGTTGTCGCATTCAAAAATGCCGTTTTGGATCTGCCAGCAAATGAGTGGGATAAGTGCTTCGAAAATTGGTTCGAGCGCATGCAGATGTGTATTAATCTTCGTGGAGAATACTTCGAAAAACAAAAAGTCATTTAAAACTGCCTACCGTGTTGTTTTATTTCCATATGCAAAACTTAAAAGACATGCCTCGTTTAGATACAGTTTGTTCTTGTTTTGTTATTAGTTCGGAGTGCCGCATACTGGTAGGAACATCTCAAAGCATCACACACTTCTCAACGTTTCCACATTTACCATCTAAATTACGTTTCGATTCAAAAAGGCTCGATATTCGAAAGACTTAGGCGCATGGAGAGCACTCATTGCATTTTTTGCATTTTGCTTATCAAATGTTGGATTACTCATAGTATAGTAGTTATAGAGTGTTTCAAAACTATAGGATCAAAATTGTAGGGGTTATTCAGTGTGACAGTAGAAAACATTTGAGTATAGGGACCCATATCCGGAAAAGTGTCACTACGGAACTACGGCCCTAAGACGCGTTAAAATTTAGAAAGACGATGAATTGCCTAAATAAGATTTAATGCATTTAATGTTTGCCTTTTGTACATTTTTTTTTTTTTTTTATATCGAAACAGCCGCGCAGGCAGAAGCCTAAATGCCGGAACACCGCGGCTGCTATGATGATCCCAAAGAAATTTTGTTAATACGATTTTTGAACTGCCTAAGGTTAGTAGAACTGGGAAAATCTTCCTCCCGTAGATTGTTCCACAATCTAGACACCCTCGGGACAAAGGAGCGGTCGTATCGGCCAGTTCTGGATGTACGAACTTTGACACGGTTAGGATGGGATGCCGAAGTCAGGCGGGTCTGTCTGGCAGGCGCATCGCGCGGCGGCATCATGGAAGAGAGCTCTGAGGAGCAAAGCCCGTTGGTGTAGCGATAGAAAAGAGCTAGATCGCCGACGGCCCGCCGGTGCGAAAGAGTCCCGAGACTGTCTGTTAGAGAAGAGTCATCGATCAGTCGGACCGCCCTCCTCTGGACAGCATCGAGCATGGACAATGTGGCAATGTGACAATGTGACATGATATCATCACAACAATTGTTCAAAATATCTTCCTCCAACCTGAATACACCGTTCCTGTGGGGACATGTAAAGTCTTTGGTTTACGAAACTCCAGTAGAAACAGAGCAAGACTTAATTGGACGAATTACAGCACCATTTGAAATCATTCAAAACGAGTATCCAATTTTTAGTCAGGTCCGCCAAAATAAAGTGCGACGTTTAAGCCTCCTTGATTGTCATAGTCTTTTCTCTCCCTCTGAAAGGTTGGAGTATTTTTTTGATGTATATAGTGATATTTTATGTATTTGTGACAAACCTCAAAATGGAACGCTGACACGGAACAGTAGAAAACTACGATAACCAAGGAGGGCATAAAGGCATCCTACAATAAATATATAAACGACTGACGATACGGCCTTAAAAGCCAGTCTAAAAGAATCTGACATGCTTATAAGTCCGGATTGATACTGCTTTCCATGCCAAGCCACATCAAACAAAGTTATCTGACTTCAGTTAATTGCTTTGCCACAGAAGCATCAGTGGCGTTTTTATACCATCCAAATAATAGCGCCATTCTGTTCTTTTGCCTTCGGATGGCGAACAACCTCATTGTTCAGAGTAATGAGCTGTTTCCAGCATCCCTTTGAAAACATATAATTACTTTGTCACAGGCAATTGCATCGATTTCTGTTCTGCTAGCAGCGAGGAGGAGACCATATTGTTCTCTTATCTTTAGAAGTTTTCCAAGGAAATATTAGTGTGTCTGTGTCTCGGTATAGAAGACCCGTAAAAATTATAAATGGAAATTGTACTCGTATAATGTCGAACAGTACGGTTCTGATAAGGTAAATTGCGGAACTACATGGCTTCTTTATGTCTTTGCTCGGTATATATGCTTTTCAATATTAGATGTGTAATTTGTAGTCTATTTTTGAATATTTGCTTCAACCATATGCAAATAATTTGAGAACTATTGTCTGAATGGACTATTGTAGTACAAAACTTCATTACTAATTTAGAGTCTAAAGACGTGTAACAATTAACCAGCTATTCATGAAATTATATTGCGTGTGTTACCTGCCATGCCATGCTTTTTAGTTTATTAATATTAAGATTTCTGCTTGCAACTCGTCTCAACTGTCAAGACGGGAGTTGTTTACGTTTTACGTTCATGACGAAAGCAACCAAAATATGCAGACATGGGAGAGATACCACATGCGCGGTCCTCAAAATACATTTTGAACGCAATCGCTATAGAAGATACTTTTGGCTTCATCCCCCACTATAAGTTTACCTCCTGTTTCCAGCCTTTTTGGCGAAAACGCCAGCTTCAGTAAAGTGATTTGAAAATTTATATCCTTGGATTTTTCGAGCCGCTGATTACTACTACATTATTAAAACCTACTGTAACTTAAAATGGCAGAATCATATAATGTGAATTGCATCGTAATCAATCAAAACTCTACTGAAACAAGGCTTTTTCTCAAAGTATAGATGTTTGCAGCTTTTGCGCTTTCCAAAAACGTCGTTACTTTACGTGTGAAACATTGCGTTGGGGCCAGTACACGCCTGGCGATCTAAATGAGTTAATTCCTAGGAATGCCGTCGTGTGAAGCCCCAATGACTACTATGCTCTTAAAATTAACCAAATTGTATAGTGCTGCTCAAGGATTATTCACGAAACACTAATCTTCAGTGTTATTCTGTAAGACCCGGTTTTTCAATATCTGGTTAGTTTTAAGTCAGGTAACACTGACTTGGAAGTTAACTATCAGTTGTCTGTAAATTCGAGTTTAAAGTTGTAGTTAACAATCAATAAACCGTTAATGCAGCAAGACTGAATTATGGTGTTCTATGGGTTTCACACATTAGGTTAGACATTACTGTTTGTCCACAACTTCAAAGTTATACCATACATGGTCCTATGCTTGAAGTTCACTACCACTTTAGGACCAACTTGATATGAAAACTCTTTTTGCAAGTTCTGATTAGCAGACAAGTTGCTGTTAACGTACGATTGAAAAACCGAGCCTTAGAGTCTGTATCGCGGAGCGTGTTTCGAAAATCGTCAGAGGACAAAATAGCCTGAGAATAGCCCGGATAATTTTGTCTCATAGTGTCCATTCAATTACAACAGAAATGGAAGCACTTTAATGACAAAAATAAAAATGCAGATACTTAATACCACTCCCATTCAAGACACTAGATACACTTGCTTATGTACGCAAAGTTTCTATCTTTCCGTTGTCCAGTAAACAAGGGCATGTAGGGGTACCTAGTAGCCAATAGAGACTATTAAAAATATTCCAGACCGCGACTCCTACTGTGAACAAAATTAAATTTATGTTTAGATTTTTAAAATTACAGTTTTCAAAAACCAAACACCCAAAATTCAGTTCAGGGCAAGTCAAAATTTATATAGTAAAATGTAACAGTCCCTAGATCTAACTCACCTCAAATATCTACATACAATAATTTCTTTTCTTTCACTTCTCGCTCCTACTTCCTTCCTTCCTTTCTCCCTCTCCCCTTACCCCTACAGCTTGCCTGGTTTCTGGGCCACCAGACCTGACAAACTGACGAGAGTCACTGACATTACAGTAACTATGACCTGAAGGCAAGGTCCTCTGGACACCCTTGAGACGTAAAGACGAGTATAGTTGTAGTCACCGTTCTTGGCGGTTACGTCATCAACACCATATGAAATAAGTAAACAGATCGAGTCTCCGTACCATGGGCGGAACACTGCGCAAACTAATCTTCAGCGCATCTGCTACTCACTGTGGTAACAGAGGACCGCTGTTTTCATCCTCTTCCTGGAAATACTCTAATAAATTTAGCACAAGCTGTCGGCCTTAACCATTGAACGTATTTCCGCGCATTGTACTGGACAACTGAAATTGCACGCTGATGTCAAGTAAGTTGTCACTCTGACAAATATGATTGAAGGGCACTCACACGTAGCGGCAAAGTTTTCGAGACGGAGACACACAACTAAACAACGTATGTCTTTGATCTTACCGAACAAACTTTCACACACAGGGGTAGGCCGCATGTGTATGTATGAGAGCGATGGAGATATATAAAGGGATACTGGTAGTCTTACTTTGACCCACCAAGGACTGTGACTACAACTATAGTAAGCAATATAGAAATACATGACAACGACATATCTTGATCGTTCATCTTCCCTGAAACTGACGGGCCTCCCACAACATCCAACATGTGTGTTTCGGAATAAACGGCGGGTACAATAAATAACCTAGCGAGTATTTTTTCGTGGCGCATTCCACGCGGTATTTTTCTTCAGTGCGACAATTAAAGTGACGCGCCGCGGTTGTGCGCGCAGTCCATCACTCATTCTACCGGTCGTGGTCGCCAGATTTTTACAAACCAAGTGCACCCAGAACACGCAAATGTACCGTGTGACATAGCCAAACCCGACAATTTATAGTACAAGCATTGCGGTAATAAAGAGCCCTGTATGCAGATTTCCAACGCCCAAAAAAAATATTAATAATTTGTTATTATATAAAGGGTATTCAAAATTCAATTCTACAAATCCCAAAATGTTCTTTTTTCAACCGGAAACCCTCTTTTTATAACCCCATCGTATTAAGCATTGAAAATAAAGTTAATTTTGTATATTGTCTACTTCTCAAATTGAGATATGATTCATTTCCATCGGTCTGTCTGCGCGCTAATTTTATAACCGCTTATAACTTGAGAACCACTGCTCAGATTTCGATCATTTTTTACAATGTTACTACTATGCCAAGGACGCAAAAGCTTTGTAGCTTTTGAAAATCGATCCAGAGGCTTCAGAGAAAATGACCTAACACGAAAAAAGTAAAAATCGCTAAAACTTCATTTTCTGATGCTTCAGAGGATCCTGATTATTTTTGAAAAATATTTTAGTGAAAAAAACTTTGAGGTGGAGGTTGTGGGTGGGGAGGGTTTATCTCAGTTTTTGATGCTGGTTCATTTATATGCTACCAACATTAGTAATTCTATGCACCTATTACGAGTAGACATACCTATTTCACACATCATACCTTTATCTGAACATTAGCCCTGAAAACTTGAAGCTGGCCGCGACTATTGCTGGCGTCGTGCGCTGACCGTGATGAGTGTTCTGGTCTGGTATAGAATCACACGTATTTCTATGCTACCACGTACTTCTATGCTACCACGTCTGCCCGAGAAAGGTTTCGGGGAGAGGCGACGCTTCCAGTTGCACTACCGGTAGGGCCGGGGAATGTCTATGAACTAATTGTATGGATTTTTTTCTCATATGGTCTAGCTTGTGCTGAACATATTCTGGGGATATATGATAAGGGCGTTGCGTGGGAAGTGCAGAGTCAACCTACTTGACGTCATTTTTTAAATGTTCCATATGGCTTTCACCACAAGATAATCAGAGTTGGTTATGACGCGGCGACCGACAGCAGATACCCTTAGTAGTTCGCCCAATTTCCTCCACGGTCAACTGAGATTATCTTATAGCAAAAGCCTAAAATTTCAATAACTCCAACAAGGTTAGACTTAGATACAGGAGGAAATGTATTTAGAATCTTGCTTCTTATCCATAAATTGGATAATAGAGTGTCCTATTTCAAAGACGCAAATTCTGATACAACCGAAAGTGCCACTATTTTTTAGAACATTTTAGCCGAATCGCCTACCAACAGCACTATTAACACAAAATTTCGTAACTGTCTTATCTGGGTTTTTTAAGTAGTCAACCGCTGCAGGTCTATGAATGGCATCTTGTATACGACTGCGGGCGCATTTTGAGCATTCTGTTGAGAATACAGATACCTTAAAAAGATCAGTGATAAGAAACTGTCTTGATTGCCAGTATCAACTTCTACACCTATGTGCGAATTCATCTGTATACGAATAATATAAAAAACTATCTATACTTGACGAATATTTGCGCCGCTCTCAAAAAGGTTAAGGGATCAAAGTAAATTAATTCCTCTTAAAAATAAAGAAAGCTTAATAAAACCCTAAGATTAGCTTCAACAATGACCAAACCAATTGAACAAAAGCTAAGTACCCACGAATATATTAATCAAGCTGATCCGGTAGCGAGGCTTCCTCGCCTATTTTCGATCTGTCGTAATTTACGTAGTAAAGGCGAGCATCTGTCGACGTTTGTGAACAAAGCCGGCTCATTAGACTGTGACACTTTTATTAAGATTAGCGGTGCGACCCGGCTGCCACGTCCGGAAATAGACCATTTAACTTCAATTCCGAAACTTGGCATAATGCGAAAAATAGCCTTATTCGGAGCTTGATTTTTTTTTGTACAAATGCAGATATTGAGAACATTCTTTACCAGTCTAACTGCATTTCAGCAGATGCTGTTATGAAATTATCTCCCAGGTTCTGTGTGCGAGCACTGGAAGAAATTGAGTTTTTTTATAAATTGAAACTTCGCGAGATCTTATGTACCGAAAAAGAGTCTGCGGCATCAAATAGTACATAGCATATAGTGCAGTATTATTTTTATCAGTTTATGTGACCAAAATTTTCAAACATTTCCAACTTGATTTGATAAAATACTAAATAAAGTGTGCATAACATTAATTTTTCTTTTTGAGTATTGCTTTTTGCACAAATACAAGAATACAAAATATTCAATACGGCGATGGAATATTGATTTCCCAAAATCTTACATTCTAAACATAATTTTGTAAATTATTGATTTAACCAAGTTGCTAGCATAGGAATTTTGATTAGTGTCACATAAACTGATAATAAATGTTTGAATGAAAATGTTTAACTGTAAAACCAAAATGGGAGCAATGAATCTATTTTCCAATTAATACCAGTAAAT